CCCCCCCCCCCCTTCCCTTCCCCTCGCCCCCCTCCCCTCCCCGGTACCTCTCGCAGCCTCTCGGCATAATCCGCCGCCGCGGCGTTCGGAGAGAGCCCGTGAGCGACAGCGAGGACCGTCGGGGCTGGCGCCGGGAGCCGCGGCAGCAGCTGAGCCCGGTACGCCCCGAAGGTGCTCTCCGGGTGCTCGGGGGGCACCAGGCGCTCGTCGCAGAAGGCCAAGAGCCACGGGCCCGACCCGTTGGCGGCTCCGGTGGAGGCGGCTGAGGGCAGCTCCCGGGCCAGGAGCCCCACCAGGCTGCCTCCGGACAGACCCAGAGAGAAGCGGCCGCCGCTCCCGGCCGCCCGCTGCACGACGAGCTGCGCCAGGGCCGAGCCCAGCTCCTGCGGGGACGGGAACACCGAGATGCGGCCCGGCATGGCGGCGGCCGGAAGCGGGGAGCGGCGGAGGCCGGAAGTAGGGAGCGGCGGCCGGATGTGGCGTCACAGCGGGAGGCGGAAGTGGGGGGGTGCGCGCCGAAGGCGGCTTCGGAAAGAAATGCGGAAGTGCTGCGCGTTGCTTAGCAACCTGCGGCCTAGTCGAGGGCTGAGGCCTGGGCCTTGCGTGAGGGCTTCAGCCCCGCGCCCGCAGCCTCAGCCCGGCTCACCTTCGGCGAGAAGCAGTGGACGGAAACGCTGCGTGCACCCATCCTTCTGTGTTAACTCTCGCCTGGCTCCCGTGCCCCCCCAAGCAATGAAAACACATCACAGCTCGCTCAGCAGCACTCATTAACATTTCCTCACTCACAGCACGGCTGCCCTCCATCCACCTCCCTGCACCCCAAAGCCTGCTCCGAGCTCAGAGGCCTCAACCCCTCATGTCCGTAACTCCCAGCCCCGAGGGCTCGGCACGTGTGAGATTTCCAGGCGTCGTTAAGGTAAAAACCGTGACCTAACGCAATTAAAGACTGCTCTGTTAAAAGCCTAACTCATTAAGTACAGCCCGCAGCCGGAGCACAAACAAACCCGCCGTAAAAGTCACCACAGAACCTCTGCCACGACAGCAGAGCAGCGGGGAGCAGTCACAAAAAGCCCTCTATCAGCGCGGCAGCGGGTTAATGGGTCAGTGCTGGCTGGTTAATGTGCTTTAGGAGAGGGCGACACCCCGAGGGGGGTTTCCCTGCTGGTGCTTTCGCTGTCGGAGGGTCTCACGTTGCGTATCAGCTTCCCACAAGCCTCATCTTTCCAGTGAATCATCATTTTCCTCGCCGCCTTCTTCAAGGTTTGATCCAGGCTCGATTATAAGGCGACTTTCCCGGCGCAAATCCTGGCGTAAAGGCATTCGTCCAACGGAACGTATTTGCCCAGCTTTACATCCAGGAAATACAGCCGGTCCGATGTCTGGTGGGGGTCAAAGCCTTCCCTCTGCAGCCGGGTCTTCTGGATCTTAAAAGTGCCTTCAGAGAAGGGAGAAAGGAGAAAATGTTTTGAAGGAGACGCTTCGTATCCGAAACGCCGTGAGAGAAAAACGTTGCATTTGGTTTCCAGTCAGATTTTTGCTTAAGAATTTGCAAATATTCTGTTTGCCACCGTGTTCCCATGTGAAGCTCGTGCAGTTTTTACTTCTCCGAAGACACGGAGTGGCTCTCGGGGTTCCCAGGAGATGGAAAAAACTCTGCGGATTCCCAGAAAACTGGAAGGGCTCTGTGGATTCCCAGAAAATGGGAAGAGCTCTCTGCAACCCCAGGACATTTAAAGCACCAAAGCAAGCAGCCAAAGCATCTCCTGTTGCCGTGGCTGCTGGTTGCGCTACAAGCAAAATTAAGGGCATGCGGACACGGTGTGACCAGAACAGGACCACGCAACGGCCCACGAAAGGCAGCAGATGGTGCAGCACAGAGTGAGAGGGGCTCAGAGCCTCCTCCCCTCTTTTCTCACGCAGAGCTCCTCCGCAGCCACACGGATACCATTTCAGAGAGCTTTCTTCCCTCTGTGCTTCAGTTTTAAAGCCTGTAACGAGCTTGTTTGCTGGCTTAAGACTGAGCTCCGGCTTTTATTCATGGCATTTGTTGACTACAAGAGAGGATTTCATTACGCAACCTCTGGCAGAAGATGGATGGCAGCCAACCAAGCGGCTCCAGTTACAGCGCATTGCCTGAGGGCTGCTTTCTCAGCTCGCTGCCAAATAAAAGTTCCCCCTTCGAGCTAAAAGTTGGCCCAGGGCAGCAGATGGGGATTGCACCTACCTGTGGTGTCAACCTGGGGTGAAAGACGGAGGAAAATGGGCCGGGCGTAGGAAGGCAGAACTTTCTGGAGCTCCTGGTAAAGAATGTTGGGGTTCACTTTCGTTTTAGGATCTGCGATTGCTGCCATTCCAGCTTTTCCTTCCACCCCTGAAATAAAAGAGGTGGAGACACAAAAAGGTAGCATGAGTTAAGCATGAAGTATTGAAGAGATTCAAGTGTAGATATGGGCTGGAGAGTTTGGCAGAGAGGAACCTGATGAGGCTCAACACGAGCAAGTGTAGAGTTCTACATCTGGGGAGGAAAAACAGCATGCATCAGTCCGGGTTGGGGCTGAGCAGTGGAAAGGAGCTCTGCAGAGAAGGACCTGGGGGTCCTGGTGGCCAATGGTTGACCCCAAGCCAGCAGTGCGCCCTGAAGGCCAAGGAGGCCAATGGCGGCCAACAGGTTGACCAGTGGTTGACCAACAGTTGACCAGTGGTTGAGTGGCAGTTGATCACGAGCCAGCAGGGCGCCCTGGTGGCCAAGAAGGCCAACAGAACTCTGGGATGCTTTGCCCAAAGCGTGGCCAGCTGGGTGCTCTGCACTGGGGAGGCCCCGTCTGGAGCACTGGGCCCAGTGCTGGGCTCCCCATGTCAGGGCTGATGGGGAACTGAGCCCAGCGGAGGCTGGAGAGATGCTGGGGGCCTGGAGGATTTCCCTTATGCCCACATCTCAGGTGATTCCTACCGCTCAGAACGAATGCAACAGCATCAAACTCCCTTCTGGCCTCTATTCCATCCTCTCCTTTTCAGGTGCCTGGTTTCAGTAGAGGTGACCAAGTTCTACCCGTCCCGCAGCGTGACGCACATTTGGTGAGTTTTCTTACTTCTGTTCTCCCTAAAGCTTGAGAATTCTGACTTGAGACGTTACCTGGCACTTCCACTCCGTACACCGCGACGTCTGTCTGGTTGAGGATGTGACTCAACATCCCTTCCACTTCTGTGGTGGAGACGTTTTCTCCTCGCCATCGGAAAGTGTCTCCGCTGCGATCCCTGAAGTACATATAGCCGAGCTCATCCATCACCAACACATCTCCTGGAGGGAGAGAAGACACCGAATCACCTTGGGTCTCAGCTCAGCTGTTCTTCAGCTGTTGTTCCCCCCCAGATGCTGCGCTGTCTTCTTCCCATGGAACTGCAGAACCAGCTGAGTGACTTTCCACCACCGTTAAGGGAGAGAATGAAGCTGCAGCTGCAGAAAAAGGGCAGAGGAAAACTTCCCCTTCCTCGAAACGTAAACATTGCTGCCAGGGCAGCTCAGCAGCTGGCAACTTGCAAGCACTAACACAAACTGCTCCTCTCAGAAGAAGACATCGGGGTTAGGTGTCACCGAACCAACCTGGTCTGGTGGGTGGCAACGAGCCCACAGCAGGGCTTGGAACCGGATGGGCTTCAAGGTCTCTTCCAACCCATCCCATGGGATTCCATGGATCTCTGACCTTTCAGGTCTCTTCCAACCCAACCCATGGGATTCCATGGATCTCTGACCTTTCAGGTCCCTTCCAACCCAACCCTTCCATGATTCTATAATCTTTCAGGTCCCTTCCAACCCAACCCATGTGCTTCTATGGTTCTGTGATCTTTAAGATCCCTTCCAACCCAATCCTTCCATGATTCTATAATCTTTCAGGTCTCTTCCAACCCAACCCATGGGATTCCATGGATCTCTGGTCTTTCAGGTCCTTTCCAACCCAACCCATGGGATTCCATGGATCTCTGGTCTTTCAGGTCCCTTCCAACCCAATCCTTCCATGATTCTATAATCTTTCAGGTCTC